GGTGTGATTCCTAGAGAGAGAGAAAGTAAGATTTCTTTCCTTTTTTCTTGGAAAGGGTTGTGAAGGGGGGTGGCAGGTAATTAATGGAGAGAGAGAGAGAGAGAGAGAGAGAGAGAGAGGGGGGGGGGTGGGGTTTTTCCTGTGCTTGGTATTTGAGAACAGTGCAGGAGAACTGTTCATTTGACAACAACAGACTGGAACTTATTTGCCCACTTTGTCTCTTGAGGTGCGCTGTATGAGTTGGGATATGGTGGAAGGGATTGGGAAACTGCCATTAAGCTGAACAATAAAGAAAGAAGTGAAGAAGCCTCCACCACCACTGATATCAAGCAAGTATTAGCAACGTTTCGATCACCAGGGACATCAAGCCAAAGCCAAAGCCAACTGGTCTGTGATCTATTTCAAGCTTATTCGATCGCCTGGTGACATGAAGGGCATGTGTCATCTTCCCGAGTTACAGTTTTCCCGCACTGGCACAGCCATTTTTGTACATGATGTTTTGCAGTCTTGATATACTCATTGAAGAACATCATTAAGATCAAAAGGGAGTCTAAGTTTCTTGTTCTAATCTCCTCCCATGCATGGACGCCATTCATGTTCTGGCTACACGTGTGTGGAGACAGGAGAAGCGGAGGAGAAGCCTGGAGGTATCGGCAACGGCAATGGCTTCACAGCTCATCTTCCTGTCGCCATGGCTGACACCGGGTTGGGATGCCCGGCGACACCGGAGCTGCTTCTCCACGTGCATGGGGCTCGGTCGATCCGGGCCCTACGCTCGGCCCCTCTGACGGCTAGCATTCGTCGTCGTTCCCTCTCCTCCTGTATTCCCTCATCCTGTCCCAATATTCTCGAGGCCCACATGCCCCACGCACGTGATACAGATGGATCTCATCAAAACGAGATACAGATCGAGTTGAAGGCTCGATAAATCCACTTCGTAATCCGAGGCTTTAGGCACTGTTAGGGGTTGAGAGCGATGATCCCTCGGTGACCAGCACAAAGTGGCAAGGTTGCAGGCTTGTACAAGGTGGCAATCGTAGTATTGTTTTATTCCATTGCCGCAGTGGGAGGGTAGCAGGCATGGAGGAAGAACTTTTCGAGCAGAGTGGTGGGGATTAAACAAGCAAAAGGTGGCATCATTTGTTAATGGATTTCGAAGCTGTGGTCAGCGCCAGACGCGGTGATCTCCTCGGGAAATCCAAACTTTATTACCACCGTCACCAAGTACAAGCCTGCCATTAATTGATCGATGCCTTGTTGGCAGCACTACGTCCTTACGCTTGAACTCTGACTCTTTCTCTTCTCCTTCTTCTTCATGGTTGCTTTTTATGATATTAAGGGAAGAAAAAGAACGTAGAATGAGATTCACCGGAAGAGCAAATAAAGAACAGCGTTAGTCTCAGCTTATCATTATGCTTTGGGACTTTCTACAGTGAACAGGATGAGAACCCAAGAGGAGAAATGATGGTATGTGTTTGCGCTTCAGGGATGTGAGAGGGACATGACAGTGACCCCACCGCCCCCCCCCCCTCCCCCCCCGGTCCCGGCGCCGGGAACACATCAGAGTGCGACCAGCGCAACAACTGACAAAAAGCCAGTGGAGTGTGACGCCTGCTGATGGTAAGAACATGTTTTGACAGATTTCCTGTGCAAATGGAGATAGATGGCTTTAGTCGCAGAGAACTGGCACGGATCATACCATCTCCAGGTTTGCAGAGAGCTCTTTACAACACAATGATTCGGTTCTCCACCTCACATCAGAAGATTATAAGTGCAGGTTCATGAAACCCTGTCGATATGGGATTCAGCAAGGATCAGTACATGTACAATCTCATCGATATAAGTAGATTGGCTGTTTCCATGACCGGCTTGTTCATTGCAACATATAAGGTTTGGAGACATCAATGTGAAAGATAAAGAATATCTCCCATCAAAAGTTTTGAAGATAGAAAGCTGCAGCCTCCTTCACTTTGTAATTACAAACTTCATAGCAAACCGATTGCACCATGGATTGGATCAGATGATTCCATCAATAGTTCTACCAAGTACCATTGATGGAAATTACTGGAACAACGTGCAGAACCATCATGCCTGATCATCCAGTGTAAGGTTCTACCCATTAGCCCTTGTCAGAGACCAACAAGGGAGCTTTTGAAAAGGTGGTCAGATGCAGCTTTGATTTACCACGAGGCATGTGGATTTGTGGCAGTATTATTCTCCTTCAGAGGAAGATTAATCCTGTATTGACACAGGAGGAAGTTGTGCATGAATGAGTCGTTCAGCTTGCGGAGAATATGAAGCTTCCTGGAGTGAAGTTGGAGGTAGAATCTTTAAAGCTGTCACATCGTTTTGGTTTCACCATGTGGTCGTGCATAGAGCTGGTGATATTGTGAATCTCCCTTCCAAGGATTTCACTGATTCTTCTGCTCGATGGAATCCTACTGTTTCTTTTACCAAGCCTTTAACTCTTAGACCAGCACAAGAATCCTCTCTCTCTCTCTCTCTCTCTCTCTCTCTCTCTCTCTCTCTCTCTCTCTTTGGGGTGCTGAGTGGTGCGCTGAGTTGCTGACACAGTTGGAACTGCTGAGGCATCGTTTGGCCCCTTGGGAAAGATCTAAGATGGCCTGCTGTGGCCATGCAAAGGAAGCATTCGACAGTTCCATTGAAGCACTAAGCAGGAGAACTATTTGGTGGTTTTTCTGTGACCAGAGCTCAAATTAAAAGAACAGAGAATTATCTATTCGAAGATTCTTTTATTCTCGTATCAAGACATTGGAGAACAGGTTTTCTGTAACTTTTTGGTGCAATCAAAAAACACAAATAGTGAGTGAGAGAGAGAGAGAGAGAGAGAGAGAGAGAGAGAGAGAGAGAGAGAGAGAGAGAGAGAGAGTCTTGACTACAGAATGGTCCACCACAAGGCATATTCGAGAACAGCATAATCTAAATAAGATGTAGACAGGAAGAAAAACAACATTTGCATGATTAGGTGCAGACCGGACCAACTGAAGAACCGGACACTCAACCAAACTGTTCCAATCTTTTATTTTATTATTGTAAATATTTATATATTTTTTTCTTTATGGTATTTAAGTCCAAAGTCTCTTCGCCGTAACAATGAAAGATATGGACATCCTATCAGACTCGTTACTCTCTCATCTTCTTGTCATCCTTTATCAACCTTGTACTGTATTTTAATGTTATCTATATATTTTATATTTTTAGCATAACGTATAAAAAAAATCTATTAATCTTCTCTCTCTCTCTCTCTCTCTCTCTCTCTCTCTCTTTCTCTAGTGAATTTTTATTACAAATTAAACCGCGAAGCTTTTTTCAAATTAGAACACATCAAGCACTCAATAATTGAGCTCAAAAGGTTGCCTCCTTTTTGCACCACCCCCACCTTCGTCTTCTCTCCAAACAACGAGATCCCATGCGTTCTACCTGCCTCAACTTGGCCCTGAAAAGCCTCACGGAAATCTATGGCTACGAACACCGAAGTCATACACCCTACGAATGCAAGGAACAGACTACTTATATATCTGCTATATTATTATTTCTTTTTATAGGGTAAAAACAAAGGTGCATGCGTTCGTTTCCATGCCAATCTGCCGCCTCGAAGGTTGGAGCAGAATAAGTAATTAATTTTGTAGGGTGCAAAGCTCAATGTTCTTGCAGTTGTCGTTGGACTTTAGGCAAAGTTAATGTCACTGCACGAACACGTCCGGTACTACCCTTGTCCTGCACTGCACTTTACTTGACTAACATACATCGATACCTTAGCTCAGTATCTTTGTAGACGGTAGATGTTTTGTTCTTGGGAGCATCTGCAGCAGCCTGGGTTTTTCCGATCTTATTTATTTGTGTTCATGAGGATTAACATGAGTGTTTTCATGAACTGTTGTGGTGGAAACCACAGATGTATCTATCATTTATAATCCGAAGCTTTAGGCACTCACTTTCATTTGCTTTTTGATGGTGATCCATGCATGTCTTTCTATTAAAATCCTAGGCATCATTATTTAAGGCAAGAGGGAACAGACCCTTTGCTATTTCAAATTTCCAACAAGTATGATACTCTGGTTTGTCTTTTTGGTTTCTTTTATTTTAATTCTGTATAATTTCCAACAAGTGGTTTATGTGGTAATAATAAGTTGATAAGTTCACCAATGAACATATTAAAGAATACAAAATAAAAAATATATATTAGAGTATAAATAAAGTTGAACTTTGGCCCAAACCCTTTGATGATTATTTTTACTATTCTTTTATAGAGGTATAAAAATATTATAACTTTGAAAAAACACATAAGATGTAACTCTATACATTTTCCTATAGTAAAACTCTGGTATATAAGAGAATGTATAGATAATTACTATTATGAATAAATAAAATATTCATTCATGCATGATCATTAATGTGCAAATCTACAAAGATATATTGCATATGATCCGTAACTTAGCTCAACATCTAATTCACACTTCATCTTTTTCATATGAATATTTACTTCATTAAATGAGATTAATTTTTTGAAAAGACATGTAATTAAGGCCACAATTTACTTATTTTGTTTTAATTAATTATTTATTTAAAGAAAAAAATAAGCTTTTGTGAGGGATTATTGGAACCTAAGGTGGAAAAAACTTAATTGTTTCTTTAGTCCCACATTGCCAATTTAGAATTTTCTTACCGTACTCTCCCCTATATATTAACCAAACTACGTTCGTGGGTATGGGGGGACAGCTCCCGTTCGAGTAATAGTCTTAGAACGGCATGTAACTTTCTTTCAAAATTTTATTTAGTTTTTTATTTTATTTTAATCATGTTATTTTTTAAATTCTGCTCTAACATATACAATTAACGCAAGATTTTTTGAGCTTTCATTGGGTCATAAGTTGCAAAATTAAGAAACGTAGGTTTTTGTTTTTATCAAGAAAAATCGAATAATATGACTCACAATATAATGTGTCCAATGATGGGATAAGATGAACCGAGAAACACGTGGCAAGGTCAGTAATTAAGTTGTTCATTAGGCTTTCTTATTTCTTTTTATATTCAACGGATGCATCGTAGGTATATCGTTTCACTTCTACCTACGTGTTCCTTTGGGTTGGTGGAGTTGATTGTGTTGTATGTGTTAGTCTACTAGTACACTCTACTCCTATCACAAGTAAATATACCGGTTCATATTTTTTATTTATATACTAGTATATCTAAATAATAATAAAGATAAAATAGAACAATCACCGACCAAAGTTAATAGAAGATTCACCCACATGTAAATAGAATGAATTTTTTTTTTGGCTTAGCACATGCAACGCAATCCCACTCCACCAGCGTCAAGGAACACGTAGGTAGGAGTTGAAACGATACATCGACGATGCATCCGTCGAATCAGAAAATTCAATTTTCGATTTTTAACCGTGGCTAATTAATAAGAGAGCCTAATGACCCATTTAATTTCTAACCTTGCCACACGTTCCGCAGTTCCTCCAACCCACATCATCAGATACATTATAGATAAAAGAGAAAAACTACGGTTTCATGATAAATAAGATATGATTCATATGAAGGGCTCATCTTGATGCTTTAAGAGTCACACGTATCCGAGATCTACAGAGCCATGATGATGCACATCGTCCGACTTGGTAATGGGCCTCAGTTTCGATGACTCGGCCCATTAACCCCTACCGATTTATATTGCACGTCCAAGGCCTTAATTCGCTTCAACGTTGTACATCATACGAAGAGGATCCTTGGTCTTATCTGGACGGTCCAGATTTGTATTCTTTCCAGGTCGGATCGTATCCTCAATCTTGAAGCGACGTAGCTTGCGCCGCCACTTACCGCGCTCCGCCTTCGGTTCTCTCGGCCCTTTCTAGAGCCCTAAACGCTCGCCGCCTCAGTCGCAGTGCTCGCACGCCATCTCTCTCCCGTTGCTCCGAATGGCGTGGCGCGGATCGATCTCGAGATCGATGCTTGCTGCTGCGCGGTCCTCGTCCCCCCGATCGCCGCCTCCGGTTGCCCGCCTCCGCCCTGCGCTTGTTTCCGGTCCCCGCGTCCAGCTCCACCGCCTCTCCTTCGGCCCTCCCAGGTAAGAACCTCAAACTTAAGAGCCTTTAATTTTCACGGTTATTTTTCCTCTTTTTTTTTTTTTAATCTCCTTGGTTCGTGCATTGCTTCGTAGATCTCTTGGAGCATTAGGATGCGCGCAGTCCTTCCTTCCGCTTTACAGCGTGGTGGCCGCTCCGTGCCTCACCTCTCACCTGTCGGTCAGCGCGAGAGCGTGCTGTGAGCTCTCTCAGGGTACCTTCTGTCGCACTTGTCAAGATCGCTAGTTAGTCCTCTCGCTGTGAAGTTCTTATTGGAAAAATGCAACTTTTTTCGCTTTAGATTGATCGATGCATCATAGGATCCGTGGTTCGATGACTAGGGTTTTAATTGTTTTTGTTGATTCTTTATCGTGCATGTTTCTTTCCGCTATTTGGATTTCGAGATCCGGTTGATATAAGAAAATTGGAATTGGGATTTGATAGGGAAAAATGGAAAAGATGGTTGATGAAGAGACAGGGCGTCGTTCAGTGGGAAGCACTGTTTAAGCTGATGTAGGTTTCTTCTTTCCCCAGTTGATCTTCCCGTAGTGAATTAATAAATAGGAGAGCTATATTGGAGAGGAATGATATCAGAAAGATATCAAATTGAATAATTTGATGAAAACGAAAACCTCAATGTTATATAACATAGGTCAAAATATGTTTTTAACGATAGTGTATGTATTACAAATTAGTGCTTTGAAATCTAATGTAACAGTTAGGTTTTGCCTATTTCTTTATATAGGCAATATTTGTTCTGACTCCATTTTGAATATGAAGGGATGACTCATTAATTCTTCTTTAATGCATCGCATTTAGTTAGTTACGATTTGGTGACCTATGAAACATTTTTTACGGTTTATACAGTTAGTGAAATTAGCTTTACTGTTTTCTTTCAAGATCCCTCCTACATCTTTTGATATGATGTCTCTAAGTCAACTTCAGTTTGCTCATTGTCATCGTGCATCTGTTAATGCCTTTAAGATGGGTTTCATTAGAGTCAGAATGCTTATGTCTTTCCTCTGTTGAAACTCTTTTTTGGTTGTTTCAGATGGTTTTGGATGCAAATCTACCCGATCAGTCCGGTGACAATCTTTGAACATTAGGACCGAAAGATCAATTTGACAAAAATTTGCAAGGATAGTGCTACGATGTTGGGAAACAAGGAAATAGTATGTACACAAGATACTTTTATAGGATATAGGACGTAGTAGGGGAATATGATAACCGAGAACACATAAGGGAAGCTTAGATCGCAGGGAATGCAATGAGGACATTAGTATTATGTGAGAAGAGATAACAGCTACTCTCAGAAAAAAAAACTTGATCTGTGACCATCAAATTCAGTTATATCACGTTTTCACAGTCAGAAAAACCACTTTATCAAATTCAGTTATATCCATAAGGTTACTGTATGGAAAAAGTGCATTTCTATGATTGGCATGAATGTTTGAGAAGAAATCCTAGACCAATCTAATTAAAGCATAAACACAGCACTTTTATTTTTACTAGCAAGATGGATCCTACGAAACATCTTGTATTTGTGTTCAAGTCATGAAATAGTTGACAATCATGAGAGTTGAAACAAATTAGAATTCTCAATTCTCTACGATGTCTAACCGGAAGAAAAAGAATCCGAGGGCTTGGGAGCAATCCGGCTAATTCAATTCTCCTACTGAGTGGTAGTCCACAACTTGTGATGAGTGCTTGTGGTCCATTACTTAAAATTGAATTGAATAACCAGAATTCGGAACCTGGGCTTAGCGCCGGACCAAGAATTCGAATTCATTTTTCTCAGGAGCTTGCCCCTGAAGTGCAGATCATGAATGCTTGTCATTTTAGATTGCATTTATGCCTTCAATCCGAGGATTAATCTTCTGCATATTATTTTGTCTCCGGTGAAATGATATTAACTGTTACATTCTTGCATAAAACTAGTCTTTAGGCATTATTATGGTCCAATTGGTCCCTGAAAACATGTTACATTATAATTTTTTGCAGGTACTTGAAAAAATAAGGATCAATTGCATGGATGGTAAATGGATGACTCTTGGTACGTGTAGAACAAGAACCTGCTTAAGGATTGACTGGAAGATTAGGAGATACTGCAAGTGTTTTTTGATTGTTTCACCAGTTTTGAGTTTTATTTTCCAGGAGTTCAAGAATAAGTGTCACTTGTGCTTCTGGTAAACAATCCTCTGGGATTATTATGTCATGTTCATTCCACTCGGGTTTTCAGTGGCTGCTTTCATCATCTGTTATTAAAATGTCTGAATGTGTATGCTGCCTCCTCCCCCAAGTACCTTTGTCAACTGCTAACCATGTCACGAGACAGTGTTGCCTTCGTCCTGTCCGCCCCAGCCGGCAAGATCTGACATTGTGAAGGTCATCATCACCAGTTGACATCGGAGTAGTATTCACGGACACTTTTTTTTTTTTTTTGTTGATCTTCTCTGAAAACCAGTCTTTGCAACAACATTTTCTGAAACAGCAATTACATGCACTTTCCCCAAAATTCTTCCTCGCTGATGTTTGGTAGCATCGTCCATTCACCCGATCAAGAGGTGTCCCTTTTGCTTTAATGTTTCTTTTATTCATTTGCATGACAACAATAGCAGGTTTATTTATGTATGAATCAATCAAGGAAGCTGTTGAGTTTTGTTCAATATATAGTTCTAAGTTTCCGATTGTGAAGGCCCATAAAGAAGTCCAAACTTGATGGAGATTAGTGTTTGCCTTGATCAATTATCTTTCCCGTTCATATCATAACAATTAATTAATATCAAAACCGATCTAGTATTATTGCTTGGCATGACCAAGGATTCATGTGAGAAAAAACTATCGGAAGAATACGATAATATATCCAAGTTAGAAAGAAGACTTGTTAAATATATTTTGTTCAAAAAGATCCGAGCTTTTGATCTCTAATAATGGAGCAAATGGTCTCAACCACTAATCATACGAAATAATATTTGTTTGCATCGAATGAAATAATTTGTTTCCTGTGGGTGCAGTAATGGATTATTACCATGAGCTTTCCACTCCGAATGCTCATGTTTTGCATTGCTCTAAGTCGTAGATCTAAGATGACGACAGTGATGAACTTGGTGCGGAATGCCTTTTATATGCTGACTTGAGCAAATCTAAATGTACTTTGCATACTCTCGAAAAGAAAAAGTGTGACATCCAAGAATAAATGAAGGAGTCAGCATCATGATCACACACCAGCCTTTGAACTGAATTTGATAATGGCAACATCCAAGTTTCCAACTCGGCAATATTTTTTCTGCAAGATGATGTCAGTTTAACAAACGCATCCCATAGAGGATGAGGAAGAGAAGGAGAAAGAAAGAAAGGTTATTCCAATACAGAAAACAACTAAAGAAGGAGAAAGAAGAGAGAGAAAACAAGCTTAAAGGTGAAGCAAGCCAGTTATTCCAGTACATAAAACAATCTTGAAGTTTGTGTGCGGATCTGACTGCTTGTCCTTCAAGGATCGATGGCTTTTGCCTGCTCCAAAAGCCGAACGGTGCTTCACAAGTCAAAAAGCAAATGAATCACAACTCCACTGTCACACAAGATCGTGCATGGCCTACCTACCCGTCACCAACATTTCTCGAGTTGCAGTCTCTGAATACTCTAACCTTATCGACTGTCTTTTAGGTCGAAGCATATTGGGTTTGTGGTTAGGCTACTTGATCATCCAGCCATGAGGGACTGATCTGTGCACACCGAAACTAGAGCAGTAGATTTTGTGAAGACATCATTTGAAGACTCGGATATCTGACACAGGGTGATTGATGGATGCACAACAATTATTACAGCTCAAAGAAGCTAATTTCTATCAGATTGGTGGGTGGGTATCAGTGTTTTTATGTAATCCTGCAGCTATTTCATGGTCAGACTCTCTGTCTCTCTCTGTTCGGCCTTGTCTTTGTCAAAGTCAAAGGAGAGGAATCTATGGCAGCAGCTGTGGTCGTCTGAGATGACAGATTTCCCCAAGGAGATGGTTAGTTGGGTTGTGCCCAGGAGTCATGAATGAATTGGAAGGACGGACCGTGTTCCAAGTCTTGAAAGGTACAAGACGCCTATAAACAACATGGAAAGTGAGGCTTTGGATTCTTTTGATCAGGGACGGACATGCCTAAGCACCGAGTCTCTTGAGATCAAGCTTTTCTGAGGATTACACAAGAACATCAACTTTTGCAGAGACCCCCCACTCTAAACGACATGACGGAAAAAGCTGATGTTGAGGTTATTTGGCTGTAAGTCTGTATCTTGAAGGATATCTCATGGCACAAAGATTAATTTGTGAGCCAAACTGATGGAGACATTATTTTGATGAACAATCGATCCCATCTTTCCATGCAGAGCATCTCTAGTGATTAAAAACAAAAAAAGGAAAAAACCCTATCGCTCCTTTGGCAGATGTAATCAACCTAATCATCCATGGAATGAATCCACACGCACCAGTCTGTGAATGGGGGTACCTTTCTGTCCCTTCAAGCTGTTTATTCCTTAATCTTCAACCAGGTGTGTCGCTTGGTTTAGAATCCAGCAACCAAAGTAAACGATAAAATATCCAATGGGATTCCCTGTTGTTGTTGTTGTTGCTGTGTTCGAGCAGGCCGTGCTTTAAACATGTCCTTCTCATCTTGGACAGATTTTAATATTCCCCTCTGGACGAGGGGAACCAACCAGTGCGCAGAATCTAGCATTTTACGAGCAAAGAATCCTGTCCCCTCACAGGTCATGCCAACTTCATCCTTCCCATGAACTCGCCGTATGTTCTTTGGGTGCAGCGAAAGCCATATGTTCGACATGTAACGCGACGATGGACTCTGCAACGCTTGTGCCGCCATTGTTGACCACAATGGTAAACAAGTGCTACTCCAGAAACACAAAGGCCACGATAGGATTCTGGCACATATAAGCAAGATTGCTATGGAGCCTCATTTGATTCTGATTACGATCTGCGTTTGTGCCAGAATGGAAGTAGGAAAACTGATGTCTACTTCTCTTAGATGTGGTGGAACGAGGAAAAGGGCAGGAGAGGAGAGGGTGGAAATGTTCTCAGACACATTAATATCTGATATAGATTTGCTTGATCTTGTGTTGCCAAATGGGCCCGCCCAGTCCTCCTCCTGTGGACGGACACTGGAAAAGTTTCTGCTTTTACACTGATGATAAATTGACTGAGACTTGCATATATTTGCAGTAATTAAGTTGACTTGTAGAATGATGTAAAAAAAAATTTCACTGTGATTTATTTTCTTGAGAGTAGATTTAGTTATTTTTTAATATTGCAAATCATGAAGAAGCCCTCTGTATTTGCCATATTTGCATTGTGAGAAAAATCTGAAAAAATGTCTTATTAATTCCCTCAAATTTCTTGCACTACTCTTTAATTAATGTTAGTTGTATTCAGGATTCAAGAGAAATGATGATGCATGATCATAGTATATTTGTGATTCATGGACACAAATCAGGTTTAGTTCAGTGGCAAACTTGCTCATAGAAGAGGTTTACAACTTCATACATACACATTTCCTTGGAAGTATTCCCAAGGCACAGATTCCATACTTTGTATCAAAGTAAGAATGCTTTAGGGTAGCAGTGGATCAAAGTTGGCATAGAATACACAATTCAGTCTTGTATAGAAACCAAGTATGAGAAACTCAAAAGGCCACTCTTTCCAAGGAAGAAGAAGACTCCCTTCCTTGTGCCTTGTGATGATCCCACAGCACAGCACAGCACACGGTATGGTCACTGTTGTCCCAATCTAATGGTCCAACATTACACCTGGAATCACATGAAAGATGACAAGCATGCAAACCAGGGAATCTGAGCACATCTTCGTGGGGTGGTTGCTTGGGTATCTCGTGTTCTTATCTCTCTACTCCATTCCGTGCAATGCTTTCTCCTTTCCTAACCACTGCTTCAGGTTTTGTGGGGGCTGGCTGGAATCTAATTCAGCATCCAATGCCCAATCATTAAATCAGACATGTCTCACACGATAGATTGCAGAAATCTTTTGTCCTCCTCACCCACGAGAAACTTCCACATTATCCGGTCAGTGCCTTGCGAGGATTAAGTATGCCATTGCGAAAACCAGTTTTGAGCCTTTGCAGATTAGTCAATGCAGGCTGTAAACTTAGCTTGCAGTTCTACTAAATCTCTGATTAAGAAAAGCGGATTCGATAGTTTACAAGGACACCGATCAAAGTCATGCAGAAGTGGAGATTCTTTACTTCTCCTTCAACCACCTAATCCATGGAATCAAAACACCTCCTCTTTATATACGTGTATGTTTTTTCTTTGTGAATCTTTTGGTCCTGAATCACATTGAATTGGCTTTTGAGAAAGGGAGGGGTTTTTGTCCGGCCCTGCGATGCCATGGAATCTCTCTCTCTCTCTCTCTCTCTCTGTGCCTACCTAAATTGCATTCAGAAGAAAGGTCCTTGGATGTGACCTTTCATGTTCTCCAAGGGTATCAACAAGATGATGAGCTAACAGGAAGCCACAAAATGTTATCCACTCCATGATCCTCCAATGCCCTCGACGGCAGGGATTGATTCTGATCTCCATTAGATTAGCTCACGTGGGAATAAGCTTGTCTTGTTCCAAGATTCTCATACGAAGTATCTATCATATGAGAAAAAAAGAAAAAGAAAAAGAAAGAAAAATGGCAACATGCGGTGAAAGTAAGTAAGACATATGTGCAGCCAAGGGATGATAGAGTCCCAATTTTCCCTTTACTTTTTTTTTTCTCCCTCCACGTATCGAGCTCTGGATGGAATTGTAAGTTTTGGTCGGTCAAAAGAACGTGGATGCCTCGTCTAAGGATTCAGTGCGCTGTTGCATCTTGCAACGTGCCAAACACCAGATCCCAAATTCCCACCGACGAATGCTTTGGAGTACGGGTACGCAATTACGGCTGCAGTAGGATGATGAGCCATGGTATTTAGCATGGTTGATGATAAATACCAACATCTCTCTTTTTGTGATGCAATCACGTACGGCAGGAAAGATTGCATCTCAGCCGTTGAAGGAAGGTTCCTTTCTTCTGAAGACCATGCGTTGCATGAGATGATGCCCACAACCAATCATAATCATAAAACTGGCAATAATTAATTTGTTGTATAGTCCAAAATTAATGATTTTTTTATCATCTTAATTACATAATTTAATATTGATTTATTGTAACAATGACCTCTAGCAAGGATCTGATGGTCTTTTTGACCACAACAAAACCATAAAAGAGCACCGTGTGGGAGACGGTATCTCCGTCCCGCCCGGTTCGGTCGCGTGGCGTCCAGATTCGCGACGAGTCGACCTCGCGAATCTCCGGTTCGCTCGAACCGGACCGATTCCAGTGTTCCCATCTTTCTTTCGCGTTGGGCTATATATAATGCTCGCCGCTCGTCTCCTCTCCTCTCCTCTCTTCTCTGGCTTTGTGCTCGTCTGAGAGATCTCGGAGAAGATAACGAGAGGAAAGAAGTGGAGCGGCGGTGCTGGAGGAGATGGGGCTGGAGTTGAAGCTGTGCGCCATGCGGATGGTGGGTGGCTTCGTGAAGGAGGCGTCGGCGATCGGGAGCGGGGACGGCGGGCGGGCTGCGAGGCTCGAGGAGTCTATCAAGAGCTTGGAGGAGGAGAAGAGAAAGATCGAAGCTTTCAAACGCGAGCTCCCTCTCTGCATGCTTCTCCTCAGCGAGGGTCCGTTGGATGCCTCCTTTCTCCATCGTTTTCTTCTTCATCTTTTTTTTTTTTGGGCTTACTGTCATGTAAAAATCCGATTTTTTTTACGATCTCGATGTCATTTCTTGTCGGTTGCAGTGATCGAGGGGTTGAATAAGGAGATCCAGCGATGCCGCGGCGACAGGTTCGGGTGTGTCTTCGAAGAATTCATACCCATGAAGAGTAAAGTTGAGGAGGATGGAAGGGTAAAAGCGGAAACGGATTGCAAAGATAAAAAGAACTGGATGAGCTCCGCCCAACTCTGGAGCGATAATCACAGCGACAACGATGATGATGACAAAGCCCACGCCAACATAATCTCCGAAGAGGTAAAAAAAAAAAAGAGGAATCTTTATGGTGAAAAAAATGGGTTTTTGTGTATACCTTTGCGAGATCTTTGAAACGCGTCGCCTCTGTCTCTGATCGCACAAGGACGGAGGCTATCATCGCAACTTCTTCTCGGAATGCAAGAATCGCAACGGCGGGGGCGCATTTGTGCCTTTCAAACGTCTGTCGTCGTTTGCTGCGAGCTCCAAGGAAGAGGAGAAGCCTCCACCCGCTCTGCCGGACCTGTCGCTGCAGTCGCCTGCGATCGAGAACACCCCTGGCCTTGTAACCTGTGCTGCCGAGGATCACCGTGTCGGAGGATGTGACTCCAAAGCCGTTTACGAAGCATCGGAGTCATCTCCGGCGACCGCCAACACCCACCTTAACGTGCAGCCACCAAGGAAGGCGAGGAGGTGCTGGTCGCAGGAGCTGCATCGTCGGTTCGTGCTCGCTATCCAACAGCTCGGCGGTGCTCAAGGTGAGCCGATCGCTGCTATTTGAATTCCTGTAGGAGTAAAGAAGAAGTTGCCTTTTGATGTTGAATCTGTAAAAGCTTGTGAGCTTTGTTGTTTTACCTTTTGATTCGAAGTGGATGGATGAAAAGAGTCGAAGAAATTTGGTTCAGTAGAAGTGGAATCAGAATATGGGTGCACGTTCTTTCTGATTGGAATCGAACTTTCTTGTTAAATCCTGGATGGAGAATAAGATCCATATTAGCAGGAAACACTTGTTTTACTTGGATTTGGCTCTTGTGTTTGTCGATGCAGTGGCTACTCCCAAGCAGATACGAGAACAGATGAAGGTGGATGGGCTCACCAACGACGAAGTGAAAAGCCATCTGCAGGTGAGTTCTGAATTCCGTGTGGATTGCCATACGGTTTCTTAATCCCAGTTTTCATCTGTTTGTTGTTAGATGGCTTTTATGTCATCTTCCGATTCTGCTATTTCAGAAGTATCGGCTGCACGCTCGAAGGGTGCATAATGCTTCAGCTACAGCGGACCGACCAGTCGTCGGAGAAGGCCTATGGATTCCTCAGAAGCAATACGCTGGTTCCTCACGGCGGAGTGCGTCACGATCTGGTTCTCCGCAAAGCCCGCTTCATTTAGCTGCCTCGGCTCACGCACTTTCAATTACTGCCGGAGATAGCTCGGAGGAGGATGGCAAATCAGAGAGCTGTAGCTGGAAATGAAGGAAATTTATGGGTACAGGCAGTTGATCTTCAAGTCGGAGAGGTGTAGTAATCTGAAGTGAGGCTTTTAGGTGGGTGGGTGCCTACCTGATGAGAAGAGATCGATTTGTAAAGAGAGAACAACAATTTTGCTGATACAACCGCCGGGAACGACCGCTGCTACCTAGTAGTAGCAGCAGTAGTAGTAATACTAGGTTATATATATATATATATACAAAAAAAGATGTGTAGCTTATGCTGACGAGAGGAGTATTATTGAAACTCCTCTGGGATTATATGTTTCTTTCTTTTTTGTTCTTGCATTTCAATCTCTGGACATCGTGAGGGTTATCTTGGCACTGTTCGATCAAAGTGTCATCATTTCTTCTATGATAAAGTAGTTGTTCCTCTTTCTTTCTTCGACAACATGGGGAGTTCAAATTTGACATCTTTTTCTTACCATCCGGTGAGTAATCCGTCCGACACAGGATATATATGCAGGACACACGAAGGGACACTGGATAGATCATCGACCAACCACTGAGGCTCAGGGCATGACCAACAGTGTATCTATCTATCATCTGAATCAGTGGTCCAATATGGACCTTGCTGGAACTCATCTTCAAATTCAATTGCTGGAACTCGCCTTCCTGCTTTGCCCACGTTTTGCTGTTTACGATCGAGAGCTTCATTCATCCATGAGTTCACTGTCCTGTTGTTGCTATTGTTTTGAGGGACCATCTTATCGTTCCGACTTCCTGTTGCTGCAACTCTGTTGTGCATTGAATGAAGGTAGATTTCACCGGATCACTTGGAGATGCTGCTTTATTTTCCATACTGACCGGCATCAGAGTGTTAGGTGGGTGTTCGTAAATAGATGAGAGAGAGGCTTCCTCCTGTGAGAATGAATCCAAGTCCACCAAAAACCTCGGTTAGATGGATGCTTTGTTCTGTACCTCCATATCTAGAATCAAAATCCGAAAATCTAGCATAGCTGGATTATTTTCATCATCTCCGGATCTAACTTCATCTTGTTTTACGGGCGCTTTCGGCTTTGTTATTGTGGACTGCTGCATCTGAATCCATATAGATAGCATGTTGTCCCTTTCTCTGCACCTGAAACAAAAACCAAATATCAAAAATCTTTACAGCTATAGTAGAAAGTCGTGAGGGGTACCGAATCATCATCAACACCGAGGAAGACGAGTTTAAATTGGGTCGACTTGCCAGATAAATCCAACTCCTGAAATTGGATTTCGTAAAGCGGTCTCCCTTATTCACTATTGCTGCCTTCTCGAATACTTGTTTTGGCTGCATCTCATGGTCCGCTATCAGTGATACTCCAACCTTGTTCTTGGCCTCATGTTGCCGTCCAACCTCGGGAAAGTTTTCCCTCTCAGACATGTTGGGTGCGAAACAGATCCCCGTTTAGATGCAAGGAAACTTTGAAGCTGTCTCCTCCATCTTTAGTTGAATTTGATGAGGCCTGATAATTCAGATATTGAGCATGTATGCTCCTCTTATTATTATTATTATTATTTATTTTTTACTTTGATCCTCGATTTGACCTTGTTATCAAGGTCACAATACTTGTAGTGTTTAGCTTTATGTGCACGCTACATGTTTGATTCAAATATTGTAGATTGAACACAAGAAAACTGGAGCGTCAACTTTCACATTGATGTTCTAGGCCATGGTAACAAGGAACTGGACAGTTGAAGAATAAAACAATGACAACCATATTAAAATGAGCAAATTGGCACCCACTGTTCTTTGATTTCACACTTGCATGTCTGTTGAACACATTGAGAGTTACATCACACACATTGGGAACATGCTTATAGCTACTGTCCAAAGGGCCAAAGGGCATACATTATCCACTTCAGATGCAGGCGAACAGTGTCATTGGGGAATGAGCCTCACCATACATACATAATAATCCTCCTCCTTTGCCTTTTCTTGGCAAATGAAAAAGAAGATACATATCACCAGCTGACCTTCATTGGTTCTATCACATCTTTGCAATGAAGCTTCTAGCCCCACTGCAGCTACTGTGTTGCGTCTCCTCAACTCATTCAAAGTGAGAAGTTGCCCGTGTGATAGCTTCACGGATAGATGAAACACGATTAACATGTTTCAAATCATGTTTCTGCCTCCTCTCAGCACAAAACTTAAAAACTGTGCAGTTAGATTACTAAGTAAGCTAAAAATAGTTTCAAATCAAAAATTACATTGGTCGGATGAAATTATTGTCAGATTCTAAGTAGAAATGAAACTTCAGCATAAATTCCTGATAACTATAATTGAAGGAACTATCTAAAACAAGTTAAATGATACATCCAGGTAGCAACTTAGGTCTTGAAGAAATTCATTAAAAAGATCTCAACATCAGAAAATATACAGGATTAGTTTGTCTTCTGTATGACAAAAAAAAATTCTCCACTGCTCGTTGCTACTAGCAGTACCAGTCTGTCCGCAGCTAGATCCTGTAACAAAAGAAAGAAGAGCTTAAAAGGGAGTACCAGCGATTTCAGCTAGCCAGTGCAGAAGATCTGTAGAATCCACTATTGCTTCTGATCCTGTCTAATTCCGCCAATCAAGATATACTGTAGCAGGCATGTAAAGTTGAAACTTGTACTTCATGTCTAATCAGATATATAATGATGTTAAAACCTGTGTCATCCTCAGTACTTGCTAAACTCCAGATTCTCCATATCTATCCCCAGTATTATGCTATCCAACCATAGGCAAGCAATACATCTCCTGATAAGTCCACTTTGGTCAGTTCACCATCTACTTGCAGCCACATGATTATAAAAATGTGATGGTTACTATTAGAAGCTACCCCCTTTTATCTTATCAGTAACTATGGCATATGAGCTCTTTCTGTTCTTCTATGGATTTCTGCAGAAGTTCATTTTCACCGGTATTTTGGACCTTGTTGGTGCTTTCAATATTTCATCTCCAACTTTGGGAAGGAGATCAAAGCCTTCCCCACTTGTATCAGGCAGATCAACGGATTTAATATTCAGTTCCACCTACATAAACTCCATAATTACTCATCTACTGCTTAGTACAAACTTCACAATAAATCCTCCATTTCCCATTCATGCACCTTTGAGCGACGATTCATTGTAATATTCGAGTCATAGAGTTGCAGCTGCCTTCTTACCCAAGAAGGGTCATCCGGCCTGAGCCACAGGCCATCATGAGTATTCTTGTGTCTAAAATCTGCTGAACCTGAAAAAAACTTCTTTTGCCTATTATCCCACCATTCATATGGATTCGCAAAGAACACCTGCCATAAGTGCAGGCGGTCTCGCAACTCTTTATCATCATCCGCTGTACCTACTCAACCAGGAGAGACTAGTAAGAATAATATCAATGTGATTTTAATTATACAAAGACACAGTTAAGATGAATGTGTTCCTCCTATTCAAATGCACCAAAAGATAGAGACCAGTATGACTCAATTATTTGCTACAATACCGCTAGACTAAGTTTCCTTTATCAAGGATAAAAGAGCTTACTGGAAACGGGTACTGTTAACTCTTCTACTACTGAAATCTCCATCTCCGTGGACTTCTGAATTTGTCTATCACGTTTAACAAAATTCAAATCTACAACGTGAACCTGAAAGGAACAAGTATTAAATATGTATCAAGGGCAAGTTAGAAGTAGCTTTTAAGGCCTCCGAACCTTGTAAAAGATTGCATGACTTCCATCTTCAAAGTGTTTCTTGTAAGAATCTAAACGACCACGAACATAAATTATATCATTTGGTTTCAAGTATTTGAGTGATACTTTTTCTAGCTTGTCCGACAAATGCAAGTGTATCCTGCTACAGAATTACAAACTTTTAGTAACCGACAGAACAATGTGATAAAGGAAAATTAAACAGATAATCTTGCAAGAGCCACAAAAATACATCAACGTAAAAGCTAAAAAAATGGAAAGAACACCTCAATTGCTGTGCAAATTGCAGGATTAGCTCCCAAATTTAACATTCCCCAAGAAAGCTTGTAGTTTGATGCATATGACAGTAATGACAACCCAAATTAATAAAAGAGCAATTTGTATTAAACATAAAAATGGATGGAAACAGATGGAATGCAGGAATCACAGAAATGATTTGTTATAGGGTTCCTAAATTAAAAATCTAATTAGGTGCTTAGAGAAGAACGTTAATTGCACCAAGCAGACACTTCATGGAATATGAGATATGAAGAAAATGACATTAGCTGAAAATTCCACAAGCTCAGTATTGCTGATAGTATAAAATTGATGTGGTTTCTTCACAACACCTCATCAAGTCCACTGCATTCATAGTTTTGGCCATAGTAAATTCTTTTGTTGGCCTAACAAGTCATGATTCACATTCATATATGGTAAGGCACCCATAAGAAGAAATGTAGGAAGCTTCATAGGGTTCCTTGAAATCTCCTAAAGCGGCAGTAACATCATCGGTGAGATCGAATAATAGATAGCATAGACAGTAAAATTAACGTTTTTGCAGCGATGCTGAAGAAGTAACCATGCACGTTAACGATTACTGAACAGGAGCACCCAAAGACAGTCGATCGACAAAAAATTGAGAGGGAAAAAACGAGGCGGAAGAGGGAAAGGTCAAGGATCTCACCAGAAAGACGACGAACTCGAATCGCAGGAAGGCCACTTCACCTCGAGAGAAGTGTAAACCCCCGGAAAGTCACTAGCGTACCTCTTCACAGGGAAAATCACCGTCCCGATGAAGCTGCACGAATTCCATGGCACCGATCCTCGCCTCACCGTCGACGGCCGGCGGAGCATCGACCGCCGGTAGACGAAGCTCTCGTCGCCAACTCCGGTGCTCGCCGAACGGTAAGCGGAGAAGGGACGAAGAAATCTCTTCAGAAAGAACAGACTCCGCGACTCCATGGCCACTTGGCACAAAACCAGTATGTGCTTTATAGTCAGAAACTAGGGTTTTAGCCAAGCAGTATCTCCGTGCGTATATATTATTATTATTATTATTATTATTATTATTATTATTATTGAGGGAGTATGATATTGTTGTACGAAGTGTTCTTACTCTCTTAACTGAGGCCACGTACCGGCCCATTAGACCCCACATAACAATTAAATGGACCTATTAGTAGTCCAACGGGGCCCATTAAGGGGCGGCGGCAGAGAGCGAGCGATGGCGAGGTGGTGTAGAGGTCGTCGCGGCGGCGGCGGCGGCGGCGTGGCGATAGACTCCCGTCTCCGACTGCCAGACTTGCGAGCTCCTCTAATTACTGGTCGTTCCCTTGTATGTGTCTTATTGCTCGTTTCCTAACAGCCGCATTTAAATGTTCAGTAGATTCATTCTACCATATATAGTAGATGAGTTGTGAAGTATGATTTGAGTAGTCATCAAAGCCTTCAGATTCTTGTTCCAGTTCGTCCCTTATGTATCTGCAGTGGCAGCGTCCATCTCTGAATGAGAACAATTGTGCATGTAGATTTGTAGATTTTTCAGTCACAAATTCATCTTACTTCATTGATTTAGCATAACAAGGCATCAATGAGAATGATCTACAGTGAGTGGTTGACGAGTTCAAATCATCCTTTCCTTTGATAAAGGCTTATGATCACCCTACTCTCTTAGTTTGAAACATGGGTTAACTATCGTTGGTTTGTGTCATCCTTTTTCTCTTCTTCCTTTGTCTCAACTCTTGACATCGCTCTCCCTCCTCATTTATAATAACCATCTGTAGCCTTGAACGACCTCGTCATTCATCATCATAAAAAATGTAACTAAGACATGAAAATTATATTTTTGCCCATCATTTTCGTGTTTCTATTGATAAAACGTAACTACGAATTTTCCAAAGATAATTCGTAGTCCTTCCTCGGTCCTCGGGTGTTTTCCTAATGAGGCATGGGCGTAGGCTTTTCGTCCTAAGGAGCTTTCTCCTCTTGAAGCGTGCCCATCGAAGATAATATTGATCTATTTTTCTACCGGTCCTCAGGGGCAGGGCCAGCGTTCTTGGGGCTAGCCTAGGTATATCCCCAAATGGCTTTTCCGGATAAGCTCCTTGATCAGAAACTTTAGATCCTGACATTCTTCTGTGTCGTGACCGTAGTCTCAGTGGAAACGATAATATTTGGATCAATCTCTATGCTCCACGGAACCCCCCTATAGGCCTGGGTTCCAAGGTCCTTTTCCCTTATTTGGAGAAAGATCTCCATTTTTGTCATGTCTTGGGGGAGTGGCCTGGTTCTTGGTCATCAATCCGGGGTCTTCTATTTTGGGATGACTTCAGGGCTTGGACCCAAGGCTCATGGTGCATCGTTTTGCTTGCCTCCTCCCGACGATCGAAAATCATAGCTTCAGCAGATAGGTATTAGCTAGCTCTTTGGAGCATTTCTAGGACAGTTATGAGTGGTCTCTACACCAATGACCAGAAGAAGCATGCGAGCCTCAAGCTCATCATGATGGCCTGAATTATTAATGAATGGTGGACATCTTAAACCCCATGTATTTTGTTAATGAACCAGGTGTTGAAGCTAGTGAGGGGCTCATCATCCCTTTTCCTTAATCCAAGCAGCATAGCTATAGAGGGCTTTGGTCACATGTTGACAAAGAAGTGGAACTCGAATTCCCTTACGAGTTGTGGGAAATAAGATATTGAAAGGGGCTTCAAGTGAGTGTACCACTCCCGAGCAGAGCCCCTTAGCGTCGTAGGAAATGCTCAACACATCAAGGTGTCCGAAGTGCCGAACAGGGACGTTTGGGCCCGGAACACACTAGTGTGCTTTGCGGGGTCAAAGCTGTCGTTGAAGGTCTCCAAGCTTGGGAGGGGTTCCTCCTGGATGCTTTGGACAAATGGAGAGGCATTGGGCACGTCGAGTTGACCATGGGAGTGCCGGATCTCCAAACTTGGGAGGCGGAATTTAGTTGGGAGGGGTTCCTCGTGGATGCTTTGGACAAATGGAGAGGCATTGGGCGTGTCGAGTTCATCGTGAGAGTGTTAGATCTCTTGTTGAACCTCATCCAACTGTTGATTCATGGCTTGGAGTTGCGCCTTAAAGGAGTCTTCCGTCGAATTAGCGGACTATGCTTCTGATTTAGTTAGGGTCACGACACAGCTTGGCGGGGTGCTGCATTCTACCGTTGGGGATCGTGGTGTCACGGCATTTGCTGAGGGGACCCTTGGGACATCGAACAAGGGCTTGTTGGTTGGGCTTCGGGAGGAGGGGGCGCAGATGATGATTGAAGAGCGGGTGGTTGTCCCAAGGTCGTTGTTTGTGTTAATTAGGAGAGGAGGGGGCGCAGATGATAATTAAAGAACTGTTGTGGAGAGTTGGTGTTAGGCATGGGCATAGAGAATCAGCGTGGGGTGTCGATGTAAAGAGCTAGCGTGGAGAGCTTCTTGCCTGTAGAGGGAGTGAACTGGTCTGGGAGGACGGGCCGCCTTGCTCGTGAGAGAGTCATCTCACTGTATCTCCTTTGTCGCGTCAAGGATCCTACACAATAGGTCAGCACAAGGGGATGTCCTGTCGTGACCCCTCTGATGCTTAAGTTAGAGGTATGAGGGAGGAGAGAGTTAGCAGTATTCAGGAAAGTGTAGTGTTCACTTGCTTACTCTTGTTTGGCCTGGGGCTCGATTTTTATACATGGGCGCCTGACGATGAGGATGAGAATCAGTGAGGGTTCCCTCTACCCTGCTCGACAAGGGTCATTAATGGAGGTAGCTTACTGATGCATCATCCTACGGCCAACATCGACACTGGGCGATCAGGATGACGTTCCCTATTTGACCTTTTGGCCGTTTTGAGTTAAGCAGGGAGTGATCCCTCCTTTAGTCGTCCGAAAGGGAGGTGTCAAGGAAGCGAACCATGTCGTCGACCATTAATGCGGGGGTGTAGCCTTTTCTTCAGTCATGGTGTTAGTGGTGAGTGGGTCTTGTGGGCTTTCTTTGGAAAGCCGAGACAAACGGGGATGGTGGGCTGATCCCTGTTGACGATCGCAAAGAGTTGGTAGGGGCTCTTATACTTTTGTTTAGGTGATCTCCTTGGTTCGAGCGGCGGGATGAGTTGGTAGTACTGATATTTTTTCTATCAATATTTATAAAGATTTCAATATAAATTTTAAAAATATAAGGATCCAAATACTAAAAACATTAAATATTTAAAGATGGACTATATGTAATTAACTCGTGAAATATATTCAAGCTATTTTACACACTCTATAAACTAGTCTCGTAAATAAATGCTTAAGATGATAACATTAAATTGGCATGACAATTGCTTAACTTAATGACATCAATTGTGTCTCCTTCAGGTGATATATCAGCTTATGGACCAACATAGGTATGAGCTCATTTAAATCTGTCAATATTCCTTTTTCTCTTCTCCCGTCAAACCATTGAGTCCAATGAAAGAAGGGATTTTAAGATGGACTGTTCTTTCTGACAAAAGAGAATAAACATGTATCTTTGAGCTTGACCTGTTCTCAGTTCTCAAAAACAGTGAAAGGTTGTGAGAGACTTGGTCTCCATGGGATCATCATCCTCCATGGATTCAGTAGCTAATAGCTTTCTTGAAGCAGTCCACGGCAAGATCTCCATTTGTCACTTCCTTTATCCATATGTTGAAGGCTGACCAAATCTGCTCCCAAGGAGTGAATGACCAAGTCCCATGAAACTTTCAAACATCTTGTTGTCAAATCTCAAGTCTTCAGTCTCTGTTGGGGGGACTCTCTCTCTTCCCCAAAAGTTCCATCCCAAATTTCAAGAACATGTGGAAAATGTTTTCTATTGATTTCTTTTCAAGTGTCAAATATGCCTCGATCATACACGATTCTCATTTTGTGCATATGCACAAATAGTGACATTAAGGACAGGTGATGGAAGCTAACAAGTATTTTTGTTTTTTGTGGGTGCAACTTTGAGCTCACATTAGAGAAGAGAATATGTCACAGTCGAGAAAATAAAACCTTCAAAAGGGAGTCGGTTGTGATATGTATTCCGTCATGTCGTGAAACATTTTGAGTTATTTTGGGTGTGTCGAGAGAGGAAGAATAATCGGAGAAAAGAGTGCAACAAAAAAAAAATCAAAATATTTGAGGATTAATAGACAAAAAAAAAAAAAAGTCTGACCCGAGAAGTCAATGGGCACGCACACAATTAATTCTACATCTCCAGCTGGCGATACGATGGCAACCGTCAAGCATGTTTGGGGTGCCCCAAACTTCCAAGTCGACGATGATGCCACTGCAATGAAACGGTCGCCTCTTCTCCGTGTCGGTGTCCGTGGAGAAAATTTTATCCTATCTAAATCTAAAAGAAGCATAGTATCAATCTTGTCTATTAATGATCCGATTTCATGATGTTTTAATCTAATTTATGTGTATCAAACTCACTCCGTCCATCATGGAATTTATGTTATTTTAAATACAGTAATACAGTAATGGTTTGATCGATTGCATGGATAGTTTGAATTTTTTTTCTACAAAATGGTGTTGTTGACTTTTGAATTTTCTTTTCCTTTTTTAAAAAATAAATAATTTTTTTTACAGCTTAAGAAATAGGAATAAAATCAAAATTTTACTCTTTTAATAATATCTGCATATCGCGATATCATGCGATCCTTCTCGGCCCTGTGTCAATATATCGGGTGATATGTTGCCGTGTGATATATCTTCTGCTAACAGTCTCTGAAGTCAGACTCCTCGCAACGGTCCAAGTCAAAAACACAAAAGCCAAAACAGAAGCAATCCTTGTTGACTCTGCTCGCAGCCGTTCCCCGCTCGCCTGAATGCCGCGTGTCTAGTGATCGAGAGAGAGAGAGAGAGAGAGAGAGAGCATCGAGCTCGTTCCGTTTCTACCCTCCTTCGACGGCGACCTCGACCTTCTTCTTCGTCCGTCCTCGTCCCACGGGCGATCCCACCTCACCCCTCGACGCTTAGGGTT